TGCAAGTACTAGACACAGGGAACGTGTTCGTGGGCTGGGGTCACTCTGCAGCTTTCACTGAATTCTCCCCAGAGGGCGATGTTGTATGCGATGTGCACTTTGGTGCCTGTGCTTTCTTCACATTTGGTCGTGTCGTCTCCTACCGGGTGTTCAAGTTCAACTGGGTAGGTAATCCTGTGACACTCCCGGACACTGCAATCACACCGGAGAGTGTCTTTATTAGTTGGAACGGTGCGACCGAGGTAGCTGAATGGCGAGTTGAGGCATGGGACGGTGAAGACCTCGGAAATATGACCTTCACGGCTATCGACCAGGTCCCTCGCGACGGGTTCGAAACTGAAATTCCACTGACCTCCAAGGTTGATTCATTCTTCCGCCTGCGCGCAATCAACTCAAACGGAGAGAGCCTCGGTGTAACAGAAATACTCCAGCGACTACCATCGCAAGGCTCTCCCCATATAAGCACATGGGCCCTGGGCTGCATTGTGTTTGTGGTACTTGGCTGCCTTATATGCGGTGTTTACTATGCTGTTCACCGTCGACTTCGCCAGGGATGTAATCCCAGTGGCACGTATCAATTGGTATCATATAAGGATGAAAACCAGGGCGATGATGAGTATGATCGTCTACCATTATAGGACGCTGGAGTTCTAGATACCCGTTCTGCCTGTACATAACTTGGTCTGCACATATTTACGGATAGATTCCCATATATTTGCACATTCCTTCTTCGCGCCTTTTCTTATTTGTTGCCGGCAGGAATGTGGTGAGGATATTCCCTCGCTGTTATTCCGAACCCTGTTCATTCGTATTGACGTCACCATATCTGATATCAATTCCTCGGCAAGTGACTTGAATCTGCAGGTCCCGTGGATCGTGAAGCCCAATAGAACAGGGAGGTTGCGGAGGTTCTTCTTCGCTTCCGCTCATTTCTTATCAAAACTCATTTGCCAAGGCTGTCAAAAACCTCGGGGGAACGTAGGGGTAGAGGTGTGAGACTCGATTTCGTGGCCGACGTGATTCCGGATATCTTGCCTATCTGAGATGGGGCAGTGCTTTACCGTTTGAGCCGTAAATATGCCAAGACCGGACCACCTTCCGACTCTCTAGATGCTCATATGTAGGGTATGCAAATGATGTTTGCCAAACCGAGGCTCGCCCGAAAATGGCGCGTCGTGATGGAGAGGACTCCGAGAGGTGCCCTTGGCGCCAAGGGTCACCTGTGAATCTGATGTTTCAGTTGAGGGGGGCGGGTACTCTTGGCGCCGCTCGCAGAGTCCCGCTCCTAAGCCAAGCCGAGGTCTCAACGCCGGTCACAAGAATTTCCCGAGCAGTACTCAAGCACCGTTTCCGCCCCTGAAAAGCCACCATTGCTTCAATACCATCCGATTCACCTTCCATGATCAAATCGCTGGATGTATGATTGGCGAAAGAAATGCCTCTTCTCCACCTTTTGTCGCCAGAATCAGGATGATAACATTGGATCCTTCTCGGCGAAGGAACAATTTTGGACTCCTGACTCCTCGAGGTCAAGGCCACCGAAGTGTCCTAAGCATGAGTCAATATCGAGTCATGACCTTCAGTCTTCTGTGGCTGAACTAGGAAGTAGGTACATGATTGTTGAGATCAAGGTATCAAGGTTTTATGAGTACCGCTCAATTCAGAGTCTCTTTTGACGTAGATGGCATACCTTTCTGTCTCACCATTACGTTCTACAATTCCTGTCTGGTCGGTTCGAAACCAGCTCATTCTTGGCTCCTGGCCAAGCCCTATAGCCACATTGGTATTTATATATCTCCTTGGCTGCTTCTCAGTTATTGATAGGGGATCAAAATCTGGTTTTGTTGACTACGGAGGAGTGAAAATTCAGCAGAACTTTTCACTATAGCCATGACCAAGATTTGGCATTGTCCTACTCCGTAGTTCAATTAGATAGTGAAGTGGATCGATCCATGTACAGTCATGTTTCATGAGTATTTGCACCCCAGTACTTCGGGGGGGCCCTATTTTCTGCCGGAAAAACTTCGTACTCACTCCCAGCCAGTCGCACTATGCGGGTGGCTCCTATAATAATAGGAATAGGCAGGCGGTATTCACAGAGCGGTCAATGGTAGAGGTACCGGGGTGCAAATACTCATGCAACGCCACTGTACGTCGCTTTAGCCAGTCCACACTTTGTAACTGAATCCCATGTGCCCACATAGTAGCTTTCCCCATGGGTACTCGTTGTAGCGAGGAGGTATGAGTTGGAACCCGACTAACTTCATTTAGAAACCTCCCAGCTCCCAGTCAAGCAACCGTGGTCTGCTTATCTGCATTGAGGGTAGTACTGTTGCCATCGGAACGTTGATCTCATACTGGATTAACTTTCGAGCTTCCTATGGACCTCCTGATTTGACATGGCGCTTCCCAATTGCTTTACGGTGCGTTTTCGGCCTTTTTCTTTTCTAAGTCGTGCGCCGCCGAAAACTGGGGTTGTGGTTGCCTGGGTGTAGTTATAGTCCACGATCTTTCTTTTCGACGGGAAACGCAGGTGTCACTCTTTTGTCTTGTTACTATAATAGTATACTTTATATAATTATTTTTGATTCTAGGGTTCCTTTAAATGGAGGTAAAAAAAGAAAGCAATGACCGCGACTTGAACGCGGGACTTCGAGATTTGCACTTGGGATGATGTTAGTATTGGGGCGACTAATCACTTTAGAAGCGAATATACATACATCTCACACTCTACCACTGAGTTACCACTGCAGGTGATGATGAAACGCAAGGATAATAAACTATAATACGCTAATCCTTAAAAGAAGCTTAGGTCTTTCAAGCTTTAGTCGTTACACCATACTCAGCAACTATTTTGTTGTCCACAATCAACCTACGGGAAAGCATTTTGCCCAGTCTAACAACTTTTCACTAATTCTGCTTGACACCAACTCTGCCTTGTGACATTTGCCATTATATAAAATAGAGCCTGGCCACGCCACTCGCAAGTGGGCATATTACTACTTGACAGTAGTAAAGACGGGATTTACCCTCCGGGCATCTAGTGTTAGTACCCATTACCTCTATTCCTGCCATAGCCTCACTAGACAGGACTAAGGCCCTTCGACTAAGACTCGCCGAATTTGCCTAACTGGGAGATGAACCAGGTCAGTGGTAGAAGCAAGTGAATTGGCTGATAAAGGGATTATGCTATTGCTTGTCACTTTCGATATTGCGGCCGGAGCTGTGCCCCCGGTACGGCCAAGATAGTGGTTATTGGCATAGTCCAGCAGCCAGAGCTTGAGAGTTTCCTCATCATTCCCTCACATACTCGATCTTGAGCTCTTCCTTACAAATTACAATCAACCTAGACATCAACCTAGTCCACTTAAACCTATTTTTAGGTCCGTACTACAGTCTGCCCGACTACAAACTGGAATGTCACCTATTAAACAATTACATCGACGTATATACAACCCTGCTCCCACCTCCACGGGTGCTAAGATTTTTGTTGCGTCACTGTAACTCGACATTTGCGTTGGGAGTGGAGACATCAGACGGGACCTGGGGACTGTCAGGACTAAACCTAACAGCGTAATTCATCGTACCCGGTATTTATGTGTAGATCAAATCACGTAAAAACATCATTCATTTCCTTTGAGCACCCGGCCACTCATCCGGTCCTTCGGCTTGGGGATGAGAGCCCTACGCGGATGAATCATATCATAGGTTAATCATTTTGAGAGTTGCACTAACAAATGCGAAGTTAGAAAGGGAGAGAGTAAAGAATGATCTCGGTACTGGTTAGGGCTTTGTGTCAATATTAGCCCCCTTCTGATGTGTTGTTGGTAATAGATAGAGGGGTAGAGAGGGGTAATTTTATAGACAGGCCTGCTTCGGTCACTGTATAAAATCATTAAGACGACCCTCAAGGAACCTCTCGATTGATCAGTTAACTACTTGCGTAGGTATATGTGTACGTAGGTAGCCATGCTTGTGGAATAAAGACCAAGTGCTTTGAGCGGCGATATGAGCATCAAACGACATACATTTCTACCTTCCCATACATCATATTGATCTAATCTAAAACTTTTAGCTTAGCGCTAGATATCATCTCCAGGGCTATAAGATCAGTATTTCTTCTCGTGTCAAATTCGTCCATTCCAATAACAACATTTCCAAGGCCTGTGTCCTGTCTAAAGACTTCTCAATAAAAGGGCCCTCACATAGGTTGTCTCCCCCAATCGTCTGCCCTGGGGAGGTATTTGATTGAGTTTTCCCATGTGATGTGTTTGGATAGATTGCCGGTGGGCCGAAGTCTGATATTGCTTTGAGCGCATCGTGGATCCACGGCACATTTGAGGGTTGATCATCACAAGCGTCAACAGAAATTGCTGGTAGCGCTGGTAGTTTTCGAGGTGTATCCTTGATCTCTGGGGAGGCATAGCCTTCTTCACTTATGTCTTCGAATCGTGGCCGTTCGAGGGCGGATCTTAGTTCCAGTCGCTCGAGAACTCCTTCGCCAATATTCGTTTCATCACTTGACCTCATTGTTCTTTTCCTGCCACAGGTGCTTCCCATTGGTCGTTGTGCGAGAACCTGGCGGCAGACGGGATCATCCGGAGTTTTATCGGTGTGGTGGACTCGGATATGTCTGCAACGGGTGGTCAATTTAATAGTAAGTGATCAGTTTTGTCCCGAAGTTTTATTCTTTTACTTGCCAATGAAGATGATATGAACTGCGGGTTCATCGCACAGACCCGCGCCGCTCAAACCGTCCAGAAAGCAATGAACCAGGTCAACAAGGCTCGTGACCGATTCACATCATTGGTTAAAGAAAGGGAGGGAATCCAAAGTGAAGTCTAAATAGGTCATGGCCCTTGTACCAGAGTGGGAGGAATATCCAACAGGATAAAAGAAATCGGGAAGCAGCTATGAAATTACTACAAATCTGAGATCAATATAACTGAAATTCGCAGTGATTTGATAGAATCCTCGCTAGGTAGAAACAGACAACCCGTTTAGTGCATAGCCCGTTTCATCAAGCGATCTGATGGTCTGACGTTGCTTCCTTCGCCATGTAATGACTTGCGTTTCTTGGGTCCCTCTAGGTCACCGGGAACCTCAGCTTCAAGCATGCTGAGAACTTCCGCGGGTTTCTCTGCTTTTAAAGCAATAACTTGCTCGTTCCTTCTCTGGTTTTCTGGGTAGTTTTGGTAAGTAATTACAGAGGGCATGCCAGACCTAGGCGTGATTGAAGGCTCACCATTTCCGCCCTTTCCAACCTCGTGACTAGGTCCATGCTCGAAATGGAAACAACCCCCAGCTATTTCCAAGGCTTGTTCATCTAAGCTGAGACGATTTGCGAATGATTGTCGGGATGCTTCAGGGTCCTTTAGAGTTTTGCAGGCTGGCAAGTGTGTTGACGCTGAAATAGAGGTTGAACGACCAGCTATGCTTCCAACTGATGAGGTATCACAACTTTCATCGAGGAATCGCTCCCACCAGGACTCTGCGATGATCTCAGTGTCGTCATCAGAATTCAGTTGCTCGGTCTTAAAATAGCTAAGTTCTTCTTCAACGTGTATCACGACAGGGTTGGATTGTGAGCCTAGCGGAGCAGGATCGTCTTCTATCACGATAGTATTGGCTTTCGTGCCTAGGTCCGAAGAATCGATAGAACCCAGTCTGAACGCTTTTGAGAAAGTTAGCGTGGTGAAAAAAATGCTTCTATGAGATCTCTCACCGAAGGCCTCGTTTGTGTTGTTCCCGGAGGATTCCATGCTGAAGAAGCGTTTGTTGATCAAAGATTGACTTCTGCTCTCTTGTTCTATTAAGAATTTCGTGCGAAACAAGTGGCTTTATAGCTCATGCCCGATCGATCACGCCTTGCGGATTCTCTAGCGCAGACAGCGAAAGTCGCAAGGCAGGATTTGATTCAAACAAACTCTGCCTGTCTGTCAATCGTTCCCATGCGCAATGCATGAAGTATGAACTGCCGCATATCTACTCATCCATGTAGTCCAATGAACATATCGAAAGATGTTGTTCCTATTCTTGGAAGCCGTAGGTCTGCATATTTTTGCGCCCAGAGGTTCTAAGCCTAGGTTGATCATATCCTGCTTGCCAATCATTCTGTGACCTGAGAGATAAGACGAAACGTGTAGGATGATCTAGCGCGTTTCTCCGTTTCTCCTGGCCATCCTTGGTGCGCATGGCGCTGCTACTACGAAGAAACCCTGTTTTATCGTCCGTCTTTCTCGTCCGTCTATCTCGTCCTTGGTGCCAATCGATCGTGAGGCGATGAATGTTGCGGTAAGGCATCTTGGTGGTAGAATCCTGTGTAGATCTCTGGAGTTTCGGTGACCGCGCGCGATACTATCGTGCGGGGTGAAGAGACTTGCACTCAGTCTATAGATGTGACAACTTTTTGAGCTTCAAGCCCACATTGGTCTCGAGTAGTCTCACGAATGCGGTTCTCGTGAAAAGGAAACGTGTGATCATGCTAACCGGAGAAGCTGAGCAGTATGATCCCGGCCTTGTTCGTTCTTCCAACATTCTGCCGTTGCATCTTAAAGGCAGATTTGGGGACCCGCTCCGTTGACAATTAACCGGCGAATCGGTGTGTGAAGCGGCAGGTCGTAGGTCAACGCAGCGGACTAAAGGCAAAATTGCCTCATAGTAGTCGTACTGGAGCAATCAATCATGATATGTCAGGCCGTTCCTATTTTCAGGGTGATGCATGTCTGCGCTGGGCTAGAGCGCAGTGTTCTTCCACCGGGCCGACTGGGTCCTGCTTGCCAGTCGTTCCTCGATCATAGACTGGAGAGGAGACGAGACTAGCGCACTAGGCCGGAGACGAGAGGCAGCCTCGTCGTCTCCAGTCCGCGTGACGCCGATGCCGTAACAGTAGACCTATTTCCGGGTCCCTCCATATCATCCTATGGACCAATCGATTATGAGGTTGATCGATGGTTGCGCTGATAAGCCGAATTAGGTGACTGGGGGCCAAGCCTGCGCATATCTCCTGAATAACCGTAAGGGAAACGGGTGTAGGTCGGGGGGATCGACATCTTGCACGCTACCTAAGCCGTAGGCGATTTTGCATGGTGGTCTGCAAATTGAGCCTAGAGAACATCACGGTCAGGTCATAGGTCGTTCGTGTCGTAATATTTGGGGACTCCGCATGCACTGGCCGAAAGGAATCGCGGCTAGGACAGTTCTATCGGTCAAATAAGCCACCTTGGTCCCAAGTCAATTTCATTTTGAAAATCAAGCGAGAGCTATCCCTCAAGTGTGTCAAGACCCTGCCGTTCCGTTCTTTGTATGCTGCGGTGAATTCGTAGCCCTGGTCCACGTAGGCGATTGTCTAAAGCGAGCGAAAGCCGCGCCGATAACGGGACCAACGATTAACCGACAGATAATCACATTAGGACGGGGAATTCGTGGGTCAGCATCAGGGCGTAACAGAAAGCACCTGATTAGGAATGAGGGGACGGAAAGTTGCGTATAGGTTACGAGTCACACAGGGAAAAGGGGGGTGGCGGAGCTCAGGAGCTCGGTGATCCGGATCAATAGCAAAAATGCCTCACCTGCAAGGCCCAGGGATTACCCGGGAGACAAGGGCGAAAAGAAAAAATGACCTGGGTTATTTGTTGGGTGGTGGAACAGGGGAGTATATAGAACCACGCACGGGGAGGCATGAGGACAAAGAGCGCTAAACTGCAAGTGGACAAACTAAACTATAAAGCGTAATTCGTCGTACCCATCCGATATGGTGTAGTGGCTAACATCGCCGTCTCTCACACGGCAGCCGGGGGTTCGATTCCCCCTATCGGAGTTTATTTTTTCCTGACATAGGCTTCCACCTCCCGGTTTATACCGGAGGATTTGTCACGAGATCATTTCATGAGACGGTTTTGCAGGTTCTATCTATCTTAAGACCCTGGCACCGGGCTTCCATTCAGCCTTCTCGAGCCCTTTTGTGATGCACGAGACATGCGCTCTCGTGATTGGCCCAATTCTTTTTCTCTTCCATCCCCTCACTTAGGCACGGGTCTCTACAGCAATGTGAAAGCTGTCAGGAACATGAGGGTCGGTTCACCCATTGAGGGACCGAATCGTGCCATACACCACGTTGACGCTAGCGAGGGTCTGGAGATGCTCGAAGATAGCATTTGTGGCCTTCGAATCACCGAGAAAGAGCTTCAGACAGAGGCAGCTGAATTCGGCGCTTTGCTGAAAGACACTACGAATCGATTTGCTGCATTGAGTGAAATGATCGAATCTCCCAGTAAGAGGGTTCTTTCTGTCTCCAGATTCTATCGATGATAGGGAGAGACTCCGGAGAATTAGGGCAATTAACCAACTATCTACTCCGTAGTTAGTACTTGCATCGGGCAGTGAAAAAAAAAAAAGAAAGGGAAAAATCTGGCGGTGAGCCAGGCGGTCAAAATTTCCCATGGGAGGTCGCCCAGTACGGAGAACAACCTTCAAAACCCCAAGCATCCTGTCGTGGGGTCGTTTCGCTCTTCTTTTCGCATTCGACTTCAGTAGCCCGCTGTCAAGCGGGCGTTTAGGCGCGCAACTCTGATTCCTACAGTCTAAACAGTGGAGATGACGTCCCCACATCCCAAGGACATCGGGATGAGTTCCCCGCGCGAAAGGTCGCAGAGTGTTGCGTCTCTGAAACCGATAGAGCTTTCAGAGACAGAACAAAGACAAACACAACCAGAGACTAGAGATCGACCACAGTCGACTACAGAGGTTCAACAGCCACCAAGCACTGGGTTTGACCCTGCTGACCGTGTGTTCCCTATTCGGTCGGTTGTTTCACTCGATCCCACCGTTACGCCCCACCATTCGGGTTCAGTACACTCCCGGGACACGATATCACCAACCCGAGAAGGGGCGCGACAGTACTCATTCATTGACGAAGGGACATGGAACCAAATGCACTCGCAGCGTTCTTCCGACCACCTTTATCACCCCGATCCCGAACACGCCGAACCTACCATCCCAACCGGTATTCCTCGCCACGAAACGCATGCTATAGATGGAAAAACAGAAATCGCGACACATTCTTTAGCATCGGAAGTTGTTCAACACCCCGAAATTTACGCCAAACCTGCCCCGAGTGACAACCAGTCTGGAAATGGGTCCACCGCGCCTCCATCCTCCAATACGCAACGCAGAAACGCCGAAGACCATGTTCATGTTACTGCCCGCTTCAAACATGTCATGACGGACAGTGGCCATGCCGTCATCACAGGACGAGATGGGGGAGCATTTCAATATTGCGAGGATGAGCCCATTCGCATACCCGGGGCGATTCAGAGCTTTGGCTTACTGATTGCCCTCCGCGAAGAGTCGCCAAATCAGCTTATAGTTCGCATTGTGAGCGAGAACTCGGCTGACTTCTTGGGTTATTCGCCTAAACAATTGTTCGAGCTGAAAAATTTCTGTGACATTTTGAGTGAGGACCAGGTGGACACACTCTTGGATCACGTTGACTTTGTTCGTGATGATGCACACGACCCATCAATCGACGGACCGGAGGTTTTTAATATGTCCATCCGCACAGCTAATGGGAAGCGCTGCAAATTCTGGTGTGCCACCCATGTCTCTCAGACGCAAAAGGATTTGATTATCTGCGAGTTCGAGCGTGAGGATGACGAGGTGAACCCATTGAATGTCGCGGGCCTTGCCACTCCGGCAGTCCCCGCAGACACCCTAGGCATTATTCCAACGCCAGATCAACTCGCTGCGAGCACAATCAACATTAGCCAGCCTCTCCGCGTTCTCAGGAATGCCCGCCGTAGGAGGGGCGAGGCATCTCCAATGGAAGCTTTCAGTATCTTAACTCAGATACAAGAGCAGTTAGGGCGGACGAATAATCTAGACCAGCTGCTTAATACAACTGCAGGATTGGTCAAGGAACTGACAGGCTTCCACCGAGTTTTGATATATCAGTTCGATAGCAGCTGGAACGGCATGGTTGTTGCCGAGCTAGTTGATCCCAACACTACTATTGATCTCTACAAGGGTCTTCATTTTCCTGCATCCGATATTCCCGCGCAAGCCCGAGAACTATACAAAATCAACAAGGTCCGGCTCCTATACGACCGCGACCAAGTCACTTCTCGACTTGTGTGTCGGACCTTGGAGGATCTCGAATTCCCGTTGGACATGACGCACGCCTATCTTCGCGCGATGTCCCCAATCCACGTGAAATATTTGGCACACATGAAAGTCCGGTCTTCAATGTCAATAAGCGTCAATGCGTTCAACGATCTATGGGGATTGATCTCCTGCCATAGCTACGGAAATGCCGGTATGCGCGTGTCATTCCCAATACGCAAAATGTGCCGGCTCCTCGGCGACACCGTGTCTCGAAACATAGAGCGGCTTTCATATGCCTCTCGCCTTCAGGCCAGAAAACTAATCAACACTGTCCCAACCGAGGCCAACCCATCAGGCTACATCATTGCATCCTCGGATGATCTTCTACAACTATTTGATGCAGATTACGGTGTTCTGTCGATTCGCGATGAAACAAAAATTCTTGGTGACAACAATAACTCCCAGGAGGTACTTGCGTTGCTAGAGTTCCTTCGCGTACGGCATTTGGATTCAGTGCTTGCCTCACACGACATCGTCAAAGATTTTCCCGATTTGTACTACGCTCCAGGGTTGAAGGCAATATCTGGTCTACTATATGTCCCGCTCTCTACTGGAGGTAGTGACTTCATCGCGTTCTTCCGTCGTGGACAGTTGACAGAAA